CACAAAATAAAGCACACTAGAGAAGAAGTGTTTATCCTCAAAATCGACTTTGACAAGGCATACGATAAGGTAAGGTGCGAGTTCTTAGAGGAAGTACTCCACAAAACTACTATTAACATTAACGGCGAGGCAGTGCTGTATTTTAGGGACACAAGGGGGTGCGGCAGGGGGACGTGCTCTCCAATTTATTATTTCACATCATGTCTGACGCGCTAACTATGATTCTAGACCAGGCCAAGGCGGCTGGGCATATCCAAGGGGTGGCTACCTCAATTGTGCGAGGAGGGCTATCACACTTACAATACGCTAACGATACTTCGATCTTCATTCGGAACCGTCCGGAGGAAATTATAAACATTCAATTCCCGCACTTGTGCTTTGAGGCTATGTCGGGGCTTGAAAAGCTTTGAGAAGAGTGAAGCCTTTTTCGTAGGGGGGATAACTCGAGGAGCAACTTTGTGCCGCACATATGATGAATCGCAAGTTAGGATCTGATACGTCTCCAGTGTATCTACAATTTTGATTGTTGCATGCTATTGTATTATGAATCTTGGATATTTTATATTTACATGTTATTTTATATCATTTTTGAAAACTAACCTATTAACTCAGTGCCAAGTGTCAGTTGATGTTTTCTGCTTGTTTTTGGTTTTCCTAAACATGAGTACCAAATGGAGTCCAAACTCTACAAAACTTTTTGATGATTTTTTTTTGGGTAAGAGAGACTCTAGAAGCTTTGGGACGATACAAAACGAGAAGCGAGGAGACAACAAGGAAATAGGGCGCACCGTGGGGGTAGGCGCGCACTGTTGCCTTGTTGGCCCCACGTGGCTCCGTCTGACCTAATTCCACTTCTATAAATTCTTAAATATTGGGAACCCAATAGAGGGCCACTCGAAACACTTTTTCCGCCGCCACAACCATCTGATCTTCCGCGATCCCATCAGGAGCCCTTTTTCAGTACTCTGCCAAAGCGGGAATCTATCACGGAGGGCGTCTACATCAACCTTGCCGCCCTTCCGATGATGCGTGAGTAGTTCACCACAGACCTACGGGTCCATAGCTAGTAGCAAAATGGCTTCATCTCTCTCTCTCTTTGATCTTCAATACAATGTTCTCCTCAATCTTCTTGGAGTACTATCCGATGTAATCTTCTTTTGCAATGTGTCTGTTGGAATCCGATGAATTGTGGGTTTATGATCAGATTATTCATTCAAAGTAATCGAGTCTTTTCTTAACTTTATTATGCATGATTATTATAGCTTTGTATTTCTCTCCGATCTATCCGTTTGGTTTGGCCAACTAGATTGATTTATCTTCAATGGGAGGGGTGCTTTGTAATGGGTTCAATCTTGCGGTGTCCTCACCTCGTGACAAAAGGGGTAGCGAGGCACGTATTTGTATTGTTGCCGTTAAGGGTAAAACAATGAGATTTATTCATATTGCTTGAGTTTACTTAGTCTACATCATGTCATCTTGCTTAAGGTGTTACTCTATTTGTTATGAACTTAATACTGTAGATGCACGCGGGATAGCGGTCGATTAGTGGAGTAATATAATAGTAGTAGATGCAGGCAGGAGTCGGTATACTTGTCACGGATGATAAACCACAAGTATAGAGGGTCGTTTGTAGCCTTCTTCGATAAATAAGAGTGTTGAACCCAACGAGGAGCTAAAGGTAGAACAAATATTTCCCCAAGTTCTATCAACCACCGATACAACTCTATGCACATATGACGTCCGTTTTACCTAGAACAAGTATGAAACTATTTTGCAAGAATAAAACTACCAGTACTTTGCGAGAATAAAACTACGAATAAATTGCGAGGTAATTAAAGTGGATAGCTTTTGTCAACAAGAAAGTCATTTGTCCCTAGGCAATCGATAACAAGTATCGGTAATCATTCTTGTAATTTTATATGAGGGAGAGACATGAGCTAACATACTTTCTCTACTTGGATCATATGCACTTATGATTGGAACCCTAGCAAGCATCCGCAACTACTAAAGATCATTAAGGTCGTGAAAACCAACCATAGCATTAAGTATCAAGTCCTCTTTATCCCATACACAACAACCCACCTACTCAGGTTTAAACTTCTGTCACTCTCACAACCCACCATAAGCAAATCATGAACGTATTGCAACACCCTACAGCTGAGGCCCCTCACATTTGCGCGAGACGGAGGGCACTGTATGACAGCACCATAAATAAAATATACAATCATACCAACCAAGATCATGATTAACCCACATGACAAAATGGATCTACTCAAACATCATAGGATAACCATAGATCATTGGGAAATAATATATAGAGTTGAGCACCATATTTAAGTAGAGATTACAGCGGGGAGAAGAGGTGTTACACTGCTGCATAAAGGGGGAGAAAGTTGGTGTTGACGGTAGCAAGATTGTTGATGTAGATCGTCGTCACGATCCTTGCCCCGGCGGCGTTCTGACGCCACCGGGAGAGAGGGGGAGAGAGCACCCCTCATTCTTCTTCTTCCTTGGCCTCCCCCCTAGATGGGAGGAGAGTCCCCCCTATGGTCCATAGCCTCCATGGCGGCGGAGGGGTGGGAGCCCTCTGAGATTGGATCTCCCTCTCTATTCTCTTCTGTTTCGCATTCCCCAGATCTGGCCCTTCACGGTTTCTTAAATTCCCGGAGATCCGTAACTTCGATTGCACTGAAATTGTTACATGATTTTTTCCATAAATTATCTTTCTTGCACCAGAAGAAGGGCCCCAACCGCCTTACGGGTGGGCACAAGACACCTTGGCGCGCCCTAGTGGGTTGTGGAGGCCGTGGGCCGCCGTTAACGATGATTTCAAGTCTCAAA